CTGGCACTTTGAGGGCGTCTAACTTATCGTTAGTGGAAAACTTCGTGTAAGTTTTCTTTCACGTTACATTCTTAGGTGGTATTGCTGTTATTAATAATATCGATTCTAACTTAAATCAATAACTGTTTTGATGGCACTGGATATGAATATCCGTCGTTATGTCCCTCATGAAGACTGGCAGATGGAACATCGTACAATGGGCTTGGCAGATTAACTGACTTCAGATGACCGGCTGAGCCGAATGCAATTTCAGCGGAAGGTACGGATTCTACAACGGTACTTGGTACACCGTAGGAGGTACTAGGTAGGCCTGCGTAACCCAAATTAAGTCCACTGTTAAAACTGGGAATAGATGGGAGCGGAGCAACATCGCCATAAAGTGGTGCTGGAACGGGATCCTTATAAACTGGTACTGGAACAGGGTGTTTAAAAACTGGTGCTGGAATAGGGTGCTTAAAAACTGGTGCTGGAAGAGGGTGCTTAAAAACTGGTGCTGGAACAGGGTCCTTAAAAACTGGCAGTGGTGGATGGCTAGGAACTCCATAGATTGGAGCTGGTACTGAAACAGGTGCACCATAAATTGAGGCAGGAGCAACGGCGTGATAATTTGGTGCAGGTGCTGGAACACCGTAAACTCGAGCTGGACCGGAAGGGACGGAGTAATGTTTCTTCACAACCGATAATGAGGCTGCAGGTGGAAGGTAGTTTACATCAGCTCCTATGTTGTGAGTTGCAAGAGTAAGTCCAGAACCTATTCCTCCGGATAATTCTAAGCCGTTAGGGTATCCATGACCACCTAAGGTACCACGTTTTTCGAGTCTCTTCTCAGACGCATTCGCCCCAGCTGCGATCAGCGAAACAATTAGTAAAGAAACCTGAAAAGAAAAAATGTATTAGCTGTGAAAGCTACGAAATTAAAAATAAAATAGATAGCAGGAATTAAAAGAAAAATTATTTACATAAGTAAGCAATGGTTAATGATGCGAATGGTGTTCACAAATATTACCTTCGTATAGAACAAATCAAAACAAAAAATAACGTTCTTAGTGACCTTGAGAAAGGAAAACTTTTCTAACTGCTTGTATAAAATAAATACAAGTAATTTTTACCGAATTTCGTAATTAACAATTCAACATTTTTATTGCAAAAATTGCTTGTAGAATATTGATACGATTACATTATTCCAGTGATTTAATTGAAAAACTGGTACTTACTACGAAGGTCCTCATGATGTACGTGTCTTAAGGAGCAGATTCAAATGTGGCTTAAACGAAAGATTCGGCGGTTTTTATACATCAACGCTACACTCCTTTCACTGGGAGGATGCAAAGACCCCCCAATTCTTCTACTGACGTAAAGGACCATATTAAGAAGATATTGGAATGATGTTCAGAATTCGTCGAATTAAGAAAAAACTATCATTCTATATATTACTCAATATATAGTTACAGTCACATAGTCGATTTTGTTTTTTATTAAGAAAAAGGCATTGTAAAATAAAACCAGTTAGTAATAATTGAATATACATTATGATTTATATTTTAAGAAAAATTAATAGCGATTTAAGATACTTTTAAAATATTTTCAATCTTTCTATTTTACTTCCAACATTCTTCAACCTGTCTGCTGTAAATTTCTTGTAGATTTCAATTGCACCATGTGTTCGATCAATGCAGTACACATATACGAAATAACAACTCACAGTTTCCTAAAAATTCAATTACTTTACCCATTTTCTTATAAAGAAAATAAAGACGCCTATTGCTATGTGTTTCAATATGTACATTAAGTTCTAATTTGTATTATTCCAGTAATTACCAGTATTTCAAATAAAGAACTTAGCGCTAAATATTATTGGAAGTGTATTTATACAACTAATATAAAAGTATAATTATTCTAATATATTTGTTTAATTGTTTTTCGATATATTGTATTTATTGTGCCACACATATACTACAATATATTGAGACTATTTATATCATTTCTGTTAAAGTGAATAATCTATTACGATTTTAATCAATATATTGTACACTTAATCATTTGTAAAAAGTTAATATTACTTATCGATACATTTTTGGTAATTATGTATAAATCAATCTTTTATACAATTTTACAATATCAGTTCAGGCAATTCGGCAACCTTCTTTCTTGTCTAATCGAAAAGTAACATTTGCAACTGAATACAGACGAGTTTGTCAATAGATAAGAATTCGTTTTAACTAAATATGCAAATCGACCACCTACAGAAAATTCTACGCACTCTGTGTAATACTAAGCAATCAAGTATTCACAACGCCGAATTTCTGTGTGTAGATTTGTTATATAAACGTAAAAGTCATAAAAACCGGAGATTTCGCTCTCGTCTTCTTAGACCAGAATTTATGAGGAAGTCAAAGCTGCGAGCAGTACAAAATTTTGCGGCACCTGAGACCTTCCTCGCACACGTGTCACTACAGAGTGAGAGGCGTTTAGCTATTACCCAATGTCAGGAACATTGCTTAGATTCGCATTTCACCAATGTCATCCGGTAATTGGCCAATTACATTTCAGAAACTGTATCTATCACAGTCCGTACTAAATTTTTAATTGTGTAATGCTAAGGATTATAGTAATCTTGTTTCGTACTTCTCTGTCCCATTACGTTTTATCAAATTGATGAAACTCTATTTAAGAATGAAATAAAATGTGACAAAAATATTTCACAAGTCAACGTTAATTTCTTTTCAGACATGTGTGAAATTGAGTGTCTAGTTTAATATAATCGTAGAAATTTTATTTCTAATATAAATTGATTCAGATAAATATTGTGTAATTTAAAAAATATTATACATAAATATTACTTATAGTTTTATGTATATTTGAAGGAATTGTGGTTTTAAGAGTATTTTAATTTTCATTTATACAATACTATCGCGTTTACTACAGAAATATTAATTTGCTGGGAAACACGCTAATAAGTAAATATTGCTAGAAAATGTTAGTAACGTAAAAAGCTGAAATATTCTGATACTTCTGATACATATGAGCACATATGTGTAATCATGCATAAATTATTCATATCAGTCTAATATTTACATGAATAAAAAAATGTACGCATTCTGGTTTTAATTATACCTACGTCTTTCACAATTCTCCTTAACTACTGTTCCATAAAAATATTTTTAAAATTAAAAAAATTAGTAAATAATGTGAATTTTTATACACATGGTATATGGTCATATTTACGATACCTCCAAAATAAGTTGGAGACAGTCATTAGATGTTAGACCTTAATGTAGGTATTACCATTTGGCCTGTGATTTTTGGGCAATGAAAATCTGTGTCCTAGTTATGCTGCATTTTCTTACAAAAGACATTATTATAAATTCAAAAGTAAAATAAAAACAGCGTGACTTTGGGTATTTCCAAAGTTTAAAATTTTTTAAGTTTTTTCTTTTGTTTTTAGAAAACTATAATAGATAGGTGAAATTAATTAAATTCTAAAACAATATTTATCATTTCTGTTACTGTACAATATAATTGGTAAAATATATTTATGAATATTAAAAGGATATCTGATTTATGTTGAGGGAAATATTATGCTTGAATATTTACACTTTTCATTTAATACTTAAGATGTATATTTTATCCTACTGATAAAGAATGAACATTTTCCTTAATTTATTAAACATATAAGCAGAATTTGTACAAAATCATAGGTGGTGGCACTGTAAAGGTGCATGAAGATGTATAGTTAAAATATCTTTATCAGTAATTCATTGTCAAACATTTGACAAGGATTCTGCTTCCACGCATGTTAGTCTTTATAAACAATCAGAGTAACATTTATTCGTAAAATTTCTTTATACGTGTGTATATTTTTCAAATATTAAACTTTATAGCTGCTCAACATCTAATCTTGAAGGGTGTGATCTGATCCTCTAGTATAAATATCAAAGATATGCATGCACATCGCTGTATTTGTCCTTTGCGGATACATGTCAGGGAAAGTAAATCTTTAATGTTCAATAAAAAAAAAATTAAAGTGATCTTCAAATCTAAAGAAATTGTCTTATTTAAAAAGTTATTAACTACCTTCACCGTTGAGTGCTCACATTCTACGTCGAAAAGTGCTACCGCAACGGGCCACAAAGTGCAAATTCTATTCTCGTAAACATAGCAGCAACTTTGTTTTATAAAAAATTGAACAAAAACCCGGCACATAAATAATTTGGCATTTGTTTCGTATTATTCCCAAACAGTCGTATTCAGTGAAAATGTCCAAAACAAAATTTTTGGCATTTTTCGATATCAAATAAAAGAAGCGCGATCGTACCGCTTGGCATTTCTCGGTCAGATTTCTTTAAATTAAGACCTATACGATTGTAAAAAGTTCGCGAAGGAATTTCTCTATATCCTATTTTCCTTAAGAGATGTTGATGTCTAACTGGTTGCCCGATTTATTTCTCAGTTATACTTCGAATCATAAATTATGACTATTCTTACAATTATAAAAGTGTATTATGAGATAATCCAATGAGAAGAATAAAAAGAAAAGATTTCTTTAATTCGTAATGTTTCGAAGAAAATTACAAAGTTACAAGCACATTCAACTTAGTAGGTGAATTGCAATTTACCACAGTACTGCGTATTTTCAGTGCATATTCGACTGTACAGTTCAATTCACGTTAATTACTAAACTGTTCTGTCAATGGTACATGCACATAAGGCTTAAATTATCAAGTCTGCAATACCTACATTTAACAACCCATTGCTTGGTGTCATTCACTTCCCTCTAGAATAATTTTCTATAAGGTCTAACCAATTTTAACCCTTTCATTACTATTGGCGCCTATAGGTGCTTTGAAAATTTGCTCGCACTTACTGTTGGAGCCTTTTCGAGCACTTCCATCTTAATTTAATACTTAATTTTACCCTCTACGCACTTCCACTTCAATTTAATAAACCGAATTTTAAAACGATACTGCCAAAATAACAAATTTTGCAGCCGTGATTAAAAAATTACCGTCAGTCACCCACGTTACGCATTAAGATTTGCCGTAGCGAAAGGGTTAAGAAACTCTGATGCAATAATTTTGAAACACACTTGTACAAGTTTTTTCTACTCAACTGATTGGATGTAAAGAATTAGCAGAAGTAGAACTATATTTTGAGTCCCATTGTTTGTATTTAAATTTCTCCGAAAACATAAACTATAGTTACAATTAACAAATTCATTTCAGTTACAGTATAAAATCAGTTTACTTTTTCAGTTAGTTTTTAATTCATTAGACTATTAAACATGCATTAGTTGAAATAGAACATAAATTGTCATGAAAGAAGGTAGTAACGAAGGAAAAGGAACGTGAAAACTTCAACCCCTATCTTAATACGATTTTCTAATTAGCAGCTTCCAAAGAATTTCCGTTTACGGGTGTTACAAAGATTTATTTCCACCATTCTTTATATTCCGGTATTCATGGGTGAACGTCTGCAGGGAAAAATGCGGAAAGTAAATTGAGACATACTCCCATAGGAACGTGCAAAGCACGGTCGATGCACAGAGGGAGCTAATGTCAGAGATTAGAGGTAATCTGTTCTGGCTGGCAATCGCCGAGGAGGACCCTCATTCACAGCTTCGATCTAGATACTATGCACCAGCACTGACATCTTTTTGCTTTTCTTCCTTTTTCTAGGCAGGATATATTAGAAGGAATTATGGAAGACGTTTCGAGTGACACAGACATTAAGACTACGCAAGCTCTTAAATACCCAGTGCCAAAGGTAATTACACTAATTACAAACTCGTTAAGGTTCTTTATAAATACCATGCTTTTGTTTCCTTTTTCTTCCAATCTTCACGTCAAATTTGAGGCAACAGCTCCTTAAGAATCTTCCTCTATTCGGTACTTCTTTCTTGCAATTCCACTTTATTTCATTCCCTCTTTAAACTAAAAATTTAATTTTATTTCGCCTCTTACGTTCTGTGAATACCTAACAATGGCAGTGTATGAAATGAGTATTGTCTGTGAGCTTTATCCTGAATTTCGTCCTTAAGGGTAGTAGAGATTTAATAAATGCCCTTTATTCTTTAACACGTTGTCTGCCACGCCGAAATCACATGTTTTGCTCAGGACGCCACGAAAGTATTTTTATTATTCGAAGCATATAATGGCAAAATAATAATAAATATGGTTGTATAATACAACATTCTTACCCATGGGGCGTTTATCTTTCCGGTAGGCACGGG